CATTAGCACCTCTAGTAATATATTTACTGAGAAAAATGGTGACGTGTTCAATACTTATTTTACCCGCTGTATTAGAGTTTTTAAAATTAATGGACAGCACACACACACATTAAACTGTTTACACATAATAAAAGAGTTTAAGGTGTGTGCTTGTGTGTGTGTGTGTGTGTGTGTGTGTGTGTGTGTGTGTGTGTGTGTGTGTGTGTGTGTGTGTGTACAGTGTTGAACCTTTGTCCTCCAGAGAGTTGTTGCTCAGGATGAGGGTCTGAAGGGTGCAGGAGGGGTTCTGGGACAGAGCACTGGCCAGTTTCTGAGCAAAATCACTACAAAAGGAGAAAAAAGCAGCAGAACAATGATGAAGTTCAGCCACTGAGAGCAGAAAAAGGTTTTCATCTGTTAATAAAAGCAACCAGGAAGCTCGTTCATTAAAGCATTTAAACCGACATTAAAGCTCTGTTTTGGTTGTTACGAGGACGTCATAAAGTTCTGCACTTCCACACCTGTGAGTTCCGCTTTCCTTGTTCCTCAACATTATTAACTAACATGAACAAAATCAATGTTTGGACGTCTGAAAATCAACCCAGAACCGTCCGCATCTGTTACACAATGCATTTAAAGAAGCAATCTAATATTAACTATTTGGATACAAAACACAAACAATAATTAACGGTTCTGCTGTCCGACCTTTTGAGTCCAGCGTTGTCCAGAACCAGCTCTTCGAGTTTACTGGACCGAGCCACAACCTTGAAAATCTGGTCACAAACATCCGTGGACTGCAAAGCARAGAAAAAATGAAACTAAGCAAATACATTTCCTTTAAATGAGTGAGGTTTATTGGTAAAAAAAAAAAAAATTAGGAACACAAAAGATTTATCAGGTAAAGCTGAACCTCAGATTGTTACCATTTTGAAATCTTTGGATGAGACTTTGGAGAACCACTGGTTGTATTCAAGAACTGCTATAATTGGCACCAGATCCCTGCGAGGGAGATTCAAAACAAACGTTAAAAACACGTCAAACAACCGTGACATAAGTTTGTGATGCAACGTCTAAAAGTCCGCAAATTAAATCGGACATCAAACGTTAAGAAAACCAGACGTTTAGTCCAAAACAAACCTGTTTTCCAGGTGAACAAAGTCCTGCAGGTTGAGTTCTTTAGTGTCCTGAGTGAGGTAAATGGTGTCCACATCCTGCGAAACACAAAACCAACAATAACCGCTGGGGCAGACGGTAAAACTGGAAAAAACTCCTCACAGTGGCGCGTTGAAAGAGACTCGGCACAAACAAGTAAGTGATAAAAATCTGATTCAGCTTCTCCACATGTCARAAGAGGTGTGTTTTTGCTACAACCTGAATAAAAAAGGGGAAGAATGAATATGTCACAGCTGTACACAATAGAAACAGAAAAAAACGAGAAGATGAGGACAAAAACAAGGAAATAAAACTAATCTGAAGCAGAGAAAGAGAAGAACAAAAACGTAAGGATTATTTAGAGATACAAAAAAAAAGATTAACAGGCCAAAAAAAGTATAAAAAGAACACAAATTTAGATATTTAGAAGAGGAACGTGAACTTTTAACACCGAGAGGCAGAAGTAGCCTCTTTAAATACGAATATTAAACCGACCCATTGGACCTCCTCTCTGAACGGCAGGCCCAGGCTGTCACACACACACCAGTACTGATGAGAAAAGCCGCCTGCAGAGAATCACAACAAGAACAATTCAGTGTTTAAAACAAATATTTCATTTAAATCTGCGTTTATTTATTGTTTTTCTTTTCTTTTTTAACTTTAAGGCAAATTTTACCGCAGGGTCCCAGGTCTGTGGAGGTCTGCTCGTTCCAGACGGCCTGGAGGCTCGTCAACCTCTCTGGAGGCTTCAGACTCAACTTCCTCATCATCTTCCTTCCTTACGCAGACACAGGAGGAGCAAGGAGAAGGATAAATAGTAAGAATATGAAAAATCAAATGAAATTTAATACACCACTCTAAATTTCCAATAAAATATTTTTGTTTTATTTAACAAACCATATCTAATCAGACATTATTATTA